TCAAGGCGCTAGCCACCCCTAGGATTGGGTAAGATTGTTATCACCCAGCACAAGTTGGCAGAATCAGGTCTTTAATCCTTTCGGAAGGACAGGAGTGTAGGGGCCTGCCACACTTCTGGGGGGAGAATGTTCCAAAGGGCGGGGGCAACGGCAGAGAAGGCTCTCCTCCTGGGCCCCACCAGCCAGTATTCTCCCACTGACAGGATCTGCAACATGGCCCCTCTGCCTGACTGTGTGGGACGGGTTGATGTGGTCTATCTGGTAAGGCTGACATCAATATTACAAGTCTTAAAGTACAACTCCCCCGCCTTCACCTTTACCAGGGGGTAAGGTGAAGGAAGGGTGGATCCGCCAGGGGGTGGATGGTGCGGCAGGGCATCAGAGCAGGAAGGCCGGGGTCTGGATGGCGTGGCACAAGCGCAGGGAGGCTTGGAGGTGCATGGTGCAGCAGGGCGTGAGAGCAGGAAGGCTGAGGTGGTGGGCAGGGCACAAGCACAGAAAGCTCAGGAGGACTTACCAGAGTGACTTGTGACCTTCCCTACCAGATTCCCCATTGATATTGCTTGTGGGAAGTCAGCAGGAAAGGACACGAATGGGGTTCACATGACTGCAGGATGCAGCAACCATTGTAAGTGTGAGCTGGTTGCCAAGCACCTGAATTGCGATCACGTGACTACAGCAGCACCGTGACAGCCAGAACTTTGAAGACTGGTTGTAAGTTCCACTTGTTCAGCGCCATCACAACTTCAAATGGTCGCTGAAGGAGTGGTAAGTAAGAGAGGACTACTTATGCAACCAAAATATATTCAGCACAAATACCGTAGAAACTGAGAAAGCAAGAAACCAATGTTTCATTTTAAATAGGGATGGAGAAGAATTTTTTGAATCAGCTAAATATAGTAGTAATGAAAAATCATACCTGCATATTTTGCAGTGTTTGATTCATCCATAGACCAGAAACAGTAATCAAAGGCAAATACCTGCAGATAAACATATATAGATTTTTTTTTTAAGAAAATCACTACTTGTGCTAATATGAACCTCAAAGCATGTTTTAAAAAGTTAATTAACTTTACATATTTGGCAGTTCTTAGTTTCGCTCTGATTATTTCAACTCATTTCTTATCTAAAATAAGACATTAAAAATCTAATAATACTTATTCTTTACTCCTAATGAAGCTTTCATATTAGTCCTATACTCTTCACTAAATAGCTATAGTGAATAGGCCAGTAGTGGAAAGGTCCTGGAGTAGCATTGGACAACCCTGGTTTTAGTCCATCCTCAGCCATGAAAACTCTCCGGGTATCTTCAAGCTGGTCATTTTCTCACAGCCCACCCCATGCCCCACAGGATTCTTGTACAAGGTTAGAAAAGGGGAGGTGTGCCTTCCCCCTTGCTTCTTGCAAAGCAGCCTGATATCCTCTGGATGTTTTATATGACAATGCCCATCCGGCTTGGTCCATAATGAGGGATGGTTAGAGTTGGAAGTCAAGATACCTGGATTCTGGTTAGCAACTAACTGAAGAAAAATGCTCTTACAGTGCCAAGTTAATGTATAGTTAAGTATAAAAAGATTTGGCAATATGGAGGTTGACAGGAACACAACTGAATATAGGTCTCTTTCAAACTGTTCATCAGTTAGGTTTCTTGTAACACTAACGGTTAATTGTTCTTTAAAAAGTCCCATATACTTTTAGTTCGTCTGTGCCATTTTTTTAGCCACAATTAAATTTGAAAAAAATAGTATATGTTACTATTATTACTGTTGTAGTTTCATCAGATCCTGAGAACACATTAGAAGTCCCAAAATCAAAGGCAGGCTTCAAATTAATGTCACCCCATTAATCTGCATCTATCTCACTTCAATTGTAACTATACAGTTCCACAATTAACACTAATGCAAAGCTGAGAGGAGGAGTAATAACTTACTGCACACAAAGAAAATATTCTGTTCTTACTCATATACAGTAACTACCCTTTCATTTAGAAGCTCTTCATCAATTTACAGTAGGAGACACTCAAGATAGTAAAATGATCTGAATTTTTGTGGAATCTTTCCCATTGCAATTTTGAGAACCTAGTAAATCAATATCCAATGCATTAATTTATTTACAGTATTACAGCAGGAAGCAGCCCCTTTGGGATAATCTTGAAAATGCTAAGCAAGACTGGATCTTGCTATCAACTGGATGGGACATAACCCAAACATCCCAGGGTTGTAAACTGGAAAACATCCCAGAAAAAAGAGCAAACCTTTTTTTGGGGGGGGGGGGAATACCTTTGAGTCAGTGTTGATTCCTGGTGACTGCCTGGATTAGGCCCTTTAGTTTTCTTGGCAAGATTTCAGAAATGGTTTGCCATTGCCTGCTTCCTAGGGCTGAGAGAGAGTGACTGGCCCAAGATCACCCAGCTGGCTTTGTGCCTAATGAATTAGAATTCAGTCTAGAATTCAGTTTCCCAGTTTCTAGCCTGATGTCTTAACTATACCACCAAACTGGCTCTCTTAAGAGCAAACTACTTCCATATATCCATATCCAAGAAAGGTATGGGGATACAATCATTAGGAGCAACTAAGGAATTTACAAATTGTTACATGCTATTTACATAACACATTAGTTATAATTTCATCTTCAAGAATGCATTAAACATTCAATTATTCATCTCCAGATATCAGAATTTTGGTAATTGTGCATATTATTTTACCAGCGTATTTCTGTCTCACACGCACATTTCTTGTTTTGCTCACATTCTTTAAGTGCAGTTTAAGTAGCAGTCAAAAATTGCTGGAAAATTTTGGCCATGGCAAATTCAAATATTGATGATCCCAGAAATATCCTTCAAGGACAAAATCTAACTATTTGGCACTCAGGCCAAACATTTCTCAAACATGAGGGAGAAGCTCTGACACAGATTTCCTGAATTTTAAAAACTCACACCCCTTAAAGAACCCATACATAGGAAAAACTTATGCTTGTTTTGTTTTGGGTTTTACCAAATTTAATTTATATAAATTTTTATAGAAAATAAAATGAATATGTTATCCCTGGAATCACTATCAGCCCTACTAGAGGTTAGTGTGAATACAGTTGTACATGAAAGTTTAGGCACCCGACCCCTAATCAAACTGTATGTTTCAATAAATTCCTAAGTGAACAGAACATGACATAAACTCTACATGATACTAAGTTAAAAAGAACATCTTTCTGCAACTTTGAATGCGTATGTACTTTTATGTGCAGTTGTTTGCAGATTCAAAGAAAGAAAACAGTGAATATGACAGGCAAAGTTTGGAATCCTTTACATTTGTACTTTCTACCACTCTTTTTGTAGAAATAACTTCCAAACTTTTCCAAAGAATCTTTCTATGCCTGCTTTTGCAATTTTTCCCACTCTTACTTGCAGAAATCTTCTAGCTGAAAAAGATTCTTAGGACTCTTGGTATGTACTGTGTGTTTGAGATCTCTCCACAAATCTCCAATAATATTCATGTCTGGGGACTGTGAAAGGCATTCCAAAACCATTATTAGGGTTTTGCAGAAAGATGTCATGTTAAACTTTGTACTATGTGAGGTTGTCTCAGATTTTGTTCACTTTGGAATTAGCTAAAACATGCAACTTGACTAGAGGTGCCTAAACTCTTCCATACCACTGTATATGTATTTGAAATATTTTTCAGTAGTAGTTTCAGAGGAGGATTGGCATAATCTGAACTGAAATTTAACATCCCTGTTCCTTGGTCTGCTCTTCCAATATAAGTGCCTTTCACTTCTATTTTGTAGATGAAAACTAAATCCAGGTAGCAGGTTATGTATATGGGGATATACAGTAAATGCTTCTTAAAGAATACAATTCAAATGTATGAATGTATACAGTATTTTCCCACTTTTTCAACTCTTAAACAAAAGTGAAAGGAAAACAGGTCAAGGTTATTCATTCAATCATTTAAATATGCACAGAACACCTCTACAGACTGTTTCATCTGAACTGTATATAAATAATCTAATACATACATTGGACAAAAGGAGATATGGCTGAACATTCACCTCAGACTTTATTGTAATATGTAAAATCATTTGCAAATTTGTTCACTGGCAGTGGCAGACTCCTGCATATACAGTGGGGCAAAAAAGTATTTAGTCAGCCACCAATTGTGCAAGTTCTCCCAC